GATAAAGGACTACAAAAGGAGAGTGTGAACTGCCCCGGCTGGAATGCCAGTTGAATACAGCCAGTTTAGTAAGGATGAACAAAGCCAGAAAACACCCGATAGGGACAACTGTAAGCAAATAAGACAATTGTTTTCAGTCACTTGGTTTTAGGGTTGTTTGTTAGAGAGCAATAGATAGCTGAAACAATGCTACTGGGCTCCTAATGTTTCTGCTAATTTGCCCGAATACCACAGGAAAAGAAGGGGTATCAGTAATCTTACTTTCCCAACAACAGCAGATAAGCTCTATGCTTTTCTTGATGCCAAAGATTCTAATGAGCTCTAAGTTCTGAGAACAGGCTTTGAGTGTATTGTCACAAAACCCCAGCAGCTAGCACAACAGCTGACATACAGTAACATACAGTACGTGTTGTAAACGAATAGTATACTTAGGAAATGGCCAGGCCAAATCAGCACATGCTATTCTTCACTGTAACTTAGAAATCATCTGACACTGCTTTAAGAACAATCTACAACACTAAAAATGTTTATATATGAATTCGAAGTGAACTAAGAGTTTTTATACATGGAGAGGGGTGATATATAAAGTTAGGTATATAATGGTAAAAATCATAGAACATCACAATATCACTTTGAAATAAGATTCTGACTTCTGTGCTACACACACACACACACACAAATAAATAAATAAAACTTTTTCAAGGCTATGTTTTTATATAAGATAATCAAACTCCATCTTCAAAAACAGAAATTTAAAAAAAATCAACAAATTTTCCAGAACAAATTAATGTCAACATTTTACCAGTGTTTCTTCCAAGGAGGATATTCATCTTCTATATCTTTGCTTTACCTTTGATTAGAGGTTAACTATTTGGTGCTAAAATATTTATAAATTTCCAAATTACCAAACAGTAGCTACATCAAATGAGGTTACCAATGTTAACACAAAGAAGGCAATAACCACTTCCAACAGGAAGGAGCATGCTTCAACTTCAAAATTCCACTGTAGGCAAAGGATCAGAAAATTTGGTGAAAAAAAAATACTGAATTAAGAACAGAATGTAGGTTTCAGTTCTAATTCTAATCTGGGCTGCTAACAAGTCATGCAGGACACTTAACCTTTAAAACTTCAGTGAACCATCTAGATTAGAACATGATGATTTCCTCTCTACCCACCTAATTCTCAAATGTCACAAGAATCACATAATAAAGTGTAAAAACTATCATCATAAAAAGAATGAAAAACACCATGGTTGTGCCATGAGATATTGTCTCCATATCAGCAAATAAGAAAATCCATGTGTGTTTTTGCCAGATAGTCTTCTATTTATATTAGGAACTAGCTCCTTGAATACTAATTATAATAGGAAATTTATTGGGTTTTCCACTGTTCATTATAATTACATCAGACATTTGCCAGGTGTGATGACACCGGCCTTTGGTATCACCACTTGAGAGGCAAAGGCAGAGTTCTGTGAGTTCAAGGTCCACACAGGGAATTCCAGGCCAGCCAGGGTTCAATAGTCAGACCCTGTCTAATAATAGAAAGGAAACCAACTAATAACAGGAAGAAGATCCCTCCCACCAGAGAAACAATCTTATATGGGTGCAGAGAAGCCAACGAATCAAACTATGCCATAACTACCATAGTGAGAATTAGCTACTTAATCCTTTTCAGAAAATTCACTGAAAATGAATGAATCCCTATTTCACTTCTTTTGTCACGTACAGCCTCCAGGATGAAAGATGGGCATACTCCTAAGCAAGGAACAGAAAAGACTAAGATGCTCTCCAAGTCTCTTCTTCCACTGGTGGTGCCTCCACCATCTCTTCCATGATTCCTAATTGAGAGCCACATAGACAGTGTGTGAACTGATACTGCTATCTGTTCTCCACCCACCCATATCATCCCTCAGTCTCACCAGTTCTCAAGTGTACAGAAGGATAGAGGAGTACAGATGTTCCAATGAAAACCTAAGCACCAAGAATCACAAAACTGTAACTGGAAGGAATCTCCTAGACTCACCACTTAAAAGATATTAACTATATCCAATCAACAGCAAATCAGTTGTGTTCTCTTCATACAAAGAAAGAAGGGAAGAAAGGAAGGAAGGAAGGATGCAAGGAAGGAAGGGCAGAAAGAAACCACCATTGTCAACAAATTCCATATTCTATTTTACCACTTGCAACTAGACTTGTGACAGACATTTAAACTCTTAGGCAAGTTTGTTCCATAATGTAACAAATAAAAGACAATGCTATAGATAGAAAGTATGAGCACAGTGCATCATTCTATCTCTAGGTACTTGCACAATATACTTCTACAGTCAGGGTCGTTAACTTTGCAGTTTCTGAAAGCTGCCCCCAGCATAACAGATGGCTTCAGATCCACAAAGCATGGCTGCATATGGCCAACAGATTCCTTTAGTTTCAACAAGGATTAGTAATTTCCAACAGAGTCTATGCTACCACTAGTCTCTCTACAGACCTGAGTCAGAACCTTCATTTTAACTGTCTTAAAAACAATTACTTTAGCTGAGCATAATGGTGCATACCTTTAATCCCAGCACTCAGGAGGCAGAGGCAGGCAGATCTCTGTGAGTTCAAGGCCAGCCTGGTCTTCATAGTGAGTTCCAGGCTACATAGTAAAACCCTGTCGCAAATAAATTAAAAAAAAAATATATATATATATATAGCGGAGGGAGGAAGACGCTGTGCTTGGGTCACTGTGCAAGTATGGAGATCCGGTGAACAACCTTTGGGAGAAGATTACCTTACTATTACCCAAATTAGGTCATCAGGCTTGGCAGAAAGCACCTTTACCCACTGAGTCATGTTGCCAATTATTTTAACTGTCTTCATTTACTTGATCACCAAATTCTATCCTCCTTTCTCTGTCCTCTCCACATGTTCACACCCTGGCTACTCAAGATGATGGAAATCTTGAGGGTTATGAATCTTCACGTTCTTCCTCCCTCAATTCATACTACACAATGCAACTGGATTAATTCTTCTAAAAAAAAAAAAAGTTAAAATGTTTCACTCCTCACTCAAAATCATGTGGACTCCTCACTGCCTACTAACCTAGTCATTAGTCTGACATTAACCATACTCTAAATTCAGAGTGGTGGCACACCCCCTTCCAGGGCTCTGAAAGCAGAGGGAGGTAGATCTCTATGAGATCAAGGCCAGCCTGGTCTACACAGCAAGCAAGTTCCAGGCCAGTCATGGCTGCATAGCAAAGCCTTGTCAAAACAACACAAAACAAACAATAAAACTAAAGAAAACAAAAAATAATTGTGTTACTGGTCTAGATTTTTATTTCAAGATTTCTTACCCTATATCCTAAGCAAAAATCCTTTAGGTTTCATACAAATCCTCTTAGATCCTTCTTCTTGAATTATGAATTACTGTTCCCTGTTTATGAAAAATCAAGTCATCCTTCAATCCAGCAACTTCAAAACAAGAAGCCTCATCTGAGAACTACCATCTCTGAACTTGAATTGAGAGAATGTTTGTATTTATGAAATCACACACACACACACACACACACACACACACACACACACACAGAGTATTCAGGCATGGGGGCATAGGCCTGTGAGCTCAGGTCTGAGGCAGAAAGATGGCAAGTTCAAGGCCAAATTGGGCTGCATAATGAGATCCTGCCATTTATTCCCACATACATAAAAGGAGCATTTGTGTGTACTAGGCTGTAAAGACAGAAGCTGCTTATCATTGCATCCATATATACCCAAAAATAACTTCACACTGTCACACAGTTAATGCTTAATAACTGTGCAAGGATGTAAAAGAAATGTCAAACAACTGAAGACATTACATCTCTTAGAAGAGACCTGATCAGCCATGTCCTGTTCAAAAGCAGTGTCTTAAAGCAGCTGTACATGTTATATGAAGACCTATTTGAAAATGTTTATAATCTGTGTCTCAAAGAACTAAGCCACAATCTTTACACATCTCAATTTCAACGGCTCCCAACACTTGGCCACTATACTTTGAATTTTAAATGTTAACTAGTTATTAAAAAGTGGTAGTTTTCAGTCAAAGTATATTACTTCATGGCTAAAGTAAGCCAGATAACTGAAAGAATGTCTTTTTTAAAGGTGAGTGTTACTAACAGTTACAAACACACTTGGTGAGACATGTCAAGTGGATTTGTACACAAGCATAAACTCTTACAGAATCCTACAGACAACTGTGAAAGAGGTATTTCATGAGAAAACAACAATAAAAAACAATTTTTTGCAAGCATTTTAAGAATAGAAATTCAATCTTACTGCACACAAAAAGATAAAAATCTAACAGAAAAAAAAAAACCAGACATCTATGAATTGTTTCATGGTGTGAGAGTAAAATATTTCAAAACTATAATAGATACACCTTCCTTTTGGTAATAAAGGTTTCTTATGATCGCTTAAAGCGGAGGAACTCCAACTCCAAACCGATGAGTAAAGGAAAGGGACTCATAGTCTTTAGGCACACAAAACTGATAATTTAAAGACAGCAAGGACGATGAGCAAGGTATCAATCCTAACAACACTTAAATTTTAAAAGAAGATTGAAAGGAAAGGGCCCGAATCACAAGATGAAGATTAGAAAAATTTGCAAGGTCACTTGAACCTACCAGGTCACCAAAGGTAGCGACTGGGGGTGTTGGCGGGAGGAGGTGCGGAGTCAGTGAAAAAACCTGAATGCTAAAAACATGTCAGAAAAGGAGGTTCTGAGGCTGGCGTCCCGGCTCGCGCCGGTGGGATCCGGGTGAAAGTCAGGGCAGCAGTTCTGAGGCAGTGAAGCAGGAACGCCAGCGAGCCGCCGGCTAGGCGGCTGAGCACTGCAGTCCCCGAGACACCTCGCCTGGCTCCGGTGTCACCGGTACAGGCGGGTGCCAGGGCCAGCCCGGGGCAAGCCCAGCGACCCCACCCCAGCGAACTCCGGCCCGGCCGCCCTCCAGGCTCCCTCCCGCGTCCCACCGTGCTTACCCGCGCGAAGCTGCGGCTCCCGGGGCCCGCGGCCACCGCGGCGGCGCCTCCTCAGCCCTCCGCGCCCAAGATCGCCATCTCGCAGCAGGCGTCGGCCGGGCAGCCCAGGCCGCCCGCAGCCACCCGGATCCCGCACGCCAAGCGCGCCGACACCCGGCCCTCCCCCCCACCCCACCCCGGCCCACACCTCCCTTTCTCGGGGACGCGCAGCGTAGTCGCGACGCCGGGGCCGCGCACAGGCGCGCCTCCCCGCCGGGGCCGCTCCGAGCCTCTCTAGTCCAGACCCGGAATCCAGCTGCCCTCGGGCATGCGCAGCGAGCGCCCGCCGAGCCCTCCAGAGGACTGATCCGCTCCTCCGGGTCTTCGCGACGGTCGAGCGGAGATGCAAGCCAACCAATAGGAGGTAAGGGGCCGGTCCCGAGCCGGAAAGGGGGGGCGGGGCAGCCCGCGGGAAGCCGGTGGTAGCTTTGGAAGCTGGAAGCTTACTGCTACCTGGCCTGTTCGGTCAGCTGCAGAGCCTCGTGCACAACCTCAGGGAAGATCCTGAGGTCACCTACGTGCTTACTCCAGCACTTCACAGCAAAAGTAGGATGTGAGTGAGCACTCCTTGACCTCGCTTAACATTTGATTTAGGGTCCATTAGCAAATGGTTGAGAAGACTTGCGTTTGTTGTTGGAAATCAAATTTTTCCCTTCCCCCCCCCCCCCCCCCTTGGCTGCACGCTGGCCCAATCACAAAGCTGCTGATGATTGAGCAAAGGCAAGTATCCGTGTCCGCACAGCAATCCTGAAAGGTAGCTTCTCTTGACTCCATTACACGATGAGTCAACTAGTTAGAAAAGCTCTGTGGATAATTTACATTGCTTTTGCGAGAAAGGTCACACTACAAATACAAGTCAGTGATGACCACTTAACCATATGGCCTGCTGTTCTAGTTCAGAAAGAGATCAGACTTCTTCAGCATTGTACAGTTGTTAGCCAAACACCTCACCTAGGTCCCACAAATGGTGTACACCCACCCCAGAGCCTACTAGTTCTCTTGTTTCAAGGGTCCAGAAATCCTGTCCTCTCATCAAAGACCTGTCCACTATCGCCAGTGACACTTTAGCATACCTTCAACTGCCCCATAGGTAACAACTTCTCAACATAAGTGCCTTTTAAGACTTCTGCCCCAAATTTTTTGTTGACCTTAAATCACCTATCTGATTCACTCTTTGTTGTCGTTGTAACTTTTGAAAGAACAGACTATCAAGAACACTGAGACTTGATGAGTATTTGTAGAACTCAGTAAATACCTTTGGGATGAACAGATGTACATTCGCTTCCGCTCTGACACATTAGTTTCTGCCCCCCCCAACTTCACATATAAGTTAGGTGTGCATGCGCACATGATGCACAAAAATTACTCAATAACATACATGACAATTTGACTTGCCTTCATTCTGTTTCTGTTGCTGTGGTAAAATGCTGACGGAAGCAACTTTAGCGAAACGGGCTTTATTCTGCCTGGTATCTGGTGGCAGGAGCTTGAAGCAGCTGGTCGTAATAAATCAGAGGTCAGGATGCAGAGGGAAACACATGCTCATCATGCTTCTTCCTTGTATGTAGCCCAGGATCCCCTGGCCATGAAAGAACTCTGCCCACGCTTAGGATTGCTCTTCCCACCTCTGTTAACATAATCAAGATAATCCTTCACAGGCAGTGTCAGAGGCCCAGGTCAGTCTAGATCCTGCCACGTCGCCAGTGGGCACAACCATCACGTCACTCTACTGGTTAAACTCATTGGCTCCTCAGCTCTTATGACACTGCTTTTCAAAGCTCCTTCAAAGCTCATACGCTGTTTGGAGATCACTGAATATGCTCACTTGGCTCTTGGCTCGGTGTTTGAACAGTGTTGTCTTAACATGTCCTGGACATTTTTTTTGCCACAAGATCTCTTTAAATAAATGCAGTAACTGTTTCAAAACACCCTTCAGGGGGTTGCCTTCCTCAGAGCGTCTTGCTCTGCCTCACTGCCTCATGGCTCCGATGTTCTGGAGCTTCCCCTTTGCCTGTGGCCCTATAAGACATCCCTAGGGCTCTCCTATCCCTAAATGGGCATTTAATATCAAATATTTGTTTTTATTAACTATTTCCTCAGTATCTTTTCATCAATCATTCCCCATGTCCTTGGTTACTGTCTCAGTTAACTCCTCCAAAGTAATCACAGAGCGTGAATAACTTTAGCCCTTTTGAAACACACTGGCAAATTGCCTTGCAGGAAGAATGTAGGCTCAGGTGACACATTGCTGGGATCAAAACACAGCTCTGCCACTGCAGGTGAATTCTCATTTCCAGGACCTTAGAAACTACCTGTGAGGCCTCTTCTTTCTTCTAAACAAACAAACAAAAACCACTGTAAACTGTATTTTCTTGTTGCATTGGTCCGTGGAAAATGTGTTGGCATTATACTTTACGGTGTTGTATTTGATATTTACATTTTTTTCTTCAATCTTCATAGGGTTTAAACTAGTTTTCCAGGCTCTGAAAATATTGTGAGCCAGAACCATTACACCTATGCTGCCTAATTGCATGAGCCAGCATGGTTGCCACCATAAGCTATGAGTTTTTTGATCTGATTATACCTAAGTGATAACTACATGATATAGTAAATAAATTGCTACAAATGCAATACTTACAGCCACCTAACACATAGGCTAGTCAACAAACTCCTGCTGCTGTAATATTACCAGTTTTCCTACATGATACCACTATGCCAAAGTGATCACAGTTCATTCCATGTGAGCAAATACGAGTTTATTCATCACCATTCACTTTCTTCCAGGACTATTCACTGGCACTTCATATGATACAGATACCGATGTAGGTGAAACATTTGTCTTTTTTATTTTTATTTTCTTTTTCACTTTGCACATCCATTTCATCTTAGCAGCATATAATCTGTGTGTCTGTCTTCCACTTGCTTAACAACTTACTCCTTCATTACACAATCATCTAGCATTTGTGTTAGAATGATGAATTAATTATTTTCTCTAAGTAGCTCACAGTAGTCTCCATTCTATTTGCTAAAGAACTTTTCTCTAACAGTAGTGGTCTTTAAAAAAATGTGTTCACAATTTGTGGACACTTCTTTCCTCGAAAACTAAAGCCTAATTCTCTTCCAGTATGGCCCACAGATAGCAACTTGGATCTAACATGTGTAACGAAGCTGAACTGCCATTTCTGACACTGGGTCCTAAAAAGGTGTTGAGGAATATTATTTTAACTAGGCAAAGATATGTTATCTTTGCTTATGCTGCAGAGTATTACTTTAACTATGTGTTATTTACTTTTGTTTATGCTACATTTGTTTAATTATGTAAAGATGTGTTACATTTGTTTCACCTTGCCTGCCTAAGGCATCTGATTGGTCTAAAGCTAAGCAGCCAATATCTAGGCAGAAAAATGATAGAAGGGGCTGGCAGGGAGACAGAATAAATAGGAGGTGAAATCTAGGCTCAGAGAAATGAGAGAGAAGGAAGAGGAGAGAACGAGGGAGACTACCACAGCAAGAAGCCAGGCAGCTGGCAGCTGGTACCCAGCAGACGCAGAGTAAGGTATACAGAAAGAAAGTAAAAGACCCCGAAGCAAAAGGTAGATAAAGAGGAACAGGTTAATTTCAGCTATAGGACCTAGCCAAAAACGAGCCGAAGCCAAGCTGAGCATTCGAAATTAATAAGTCTCCATGTTATGTTTTGGGAGCTGGTTAGTGGCCTAAAAGAAAAGCCTGGTACAAAAGGCATACCCCTGTCCCCTCATATCATTAGCAAGTGGCAAGGACATACTTGGATCCTTGAGAAGGGACCCACATTGTAAGGAACCCACATCTTGTCTGAGACCAGGAAGGACCTAGGCCTCCTGCCACGTGAGTGACATAAAGAAGCAGATCCTTCAGTACCTCAGAGGATATCATCTTGACCACAGCCTCACAGAGATATGAAACCAAAACCACCCAGTTAAGTCATTCACATGCCTGTCCCTCAGAACAATGAAATTAATGGAATGGCTTTGTTATAGTTCTAAGCCATTAAGTCTTGGGACATAACTTGGTATCCAACAATAGAGAGAGAACAAGTACTCTAATCCAGTGATTCTCAACCTAGGACAACTTTGCATTGCAGAGAATTCAGTGACACCTTGAAGTTTTGAAGAGAGAGAGAGAGAGAGAGAGAGAGAGAGAGAGAGAGAGAGAGAGTGATGATTTTTTAGGAAGGTGGTTTTGATTGCCATCTAGAGGGTTGTACTAAACATCCTATAGTGAACACCACAGCTTCCATTCCTGATCAAACACCAAGTTGCCCAGCACTATGCTAACTGCACCAACCTGTCAGCAGTGCACTATACCCGAAGTTTCCTCTTCCATGTGTGCTGGTGAGTACGGACAGCTCTGCTTCACATCTGATATTCACTTGAGTGCTTCTACCGTTGCTAGCCTTTCCTAGTGTTTTTGTGCTTTACAGCTAGTGAAAGCCTCAAGCCTGTACTTGGCAGTGCCACTTAAAACCATCTGCTGCTTCCTTCGGGACTCCTCCTAAGGCAGAGAAGTTAGCTGAGATACCTGCCTCTGAGCAACTCTCTTCTGCTTATTGTCAGGTAAGACACAATGCTGTCAAGGGTATTAGACTTAAGAGTTGATAATAGGCAGGCCTGGCACCACACACCTTTAATCCCAGCACTTGGGCAGTAGAGGCAGGTGGATCTCTGGGACATTAAGACCAGCTTGGTTGACATAATGAGTTCCATGGGAGTGAGACAATGAGACCCTGTCTCAAATAAGTAAATAAATAAATAAATAAATAAATGAGTTGATCATAAACTGAAGCAACTGTATCTTACAAAACTGTATCTTTTCTTCACTGTGTCAGGGTTCTTCAGAGAATCAGAATGAGCAACACACACACACACACAGAGATATTAGGAAATTGACTCATATAATCACAGTAGCAGAAGAAAAAAACACACCATCTTCAGTGAGGAAGAATCAGAATGAAATCTGTACTTCTTGCGTTTTCTGTTCTGTTGCCCTCCAAGAATGATACTCTCTCACACTCAAACTATGTCTTCCCCACTTAGCTCATGAACCCATAAGCCATTCCTGTCT